ATATAATAATTTTTAATAAATATGTTATATAATATATTGAATCAAATGTGTATTAATTACTCTTCTAAACAAAAATGTTAATGGTAGCTTCATTTGATTCATTCCTCTTATTCAATGGCCGAAATAATATCGAATCAAAAAAAGAAAAAAAAAATCATCGAAATAATATAAGTCCACATATAAATTCTAAAAGGCTTGTAATAATGCTTCAAGTGATTTAATTAGTTAAAAATTTATAAATTAAAGTATCATAATTTTGAGATTATAAATTTTACTGCACATATTTAATTTGGTTTTTTTAAAGTTTTTTTTTTTTGAATTTTGTACCATGTTTAATTGTTGTGACATATATCATAAACTATGTATTTTTTAGGAAAATGACAAATATTTCTTCATAAAATTTCATTCTACATCATAGACTTAGGCATTACGATGTAAAAACTCAATTAATTAACTGCCTATTTACAATTTAGCTAAATACACATTGTATTTGCTTCTACTTATATAAAAATTATATATATTTTTAAAGATTCTTTATTTCTCTTTACTAAATATAAGGACACATACACTTGGGGTGGCAATAGTTAAATGCACTTTGTGTTTGTTTATATGGTACTGAATAACATAAAATTATAAATTTTAAAGATAATTTTTTGTTTCTCTTTTCTAAATTTTATAATGGCACAAACACTTCAAGTGGCATTAGTTAAATACAATTTGTATTTACTTGTATTTACATTAAAAAAAAAAAAGAAACTATAAATTAAAGATTTTTTTTTCTCCTTCCTAAATTTTATAGGGGCACACATACACTGGGGGTGGCAAAGTGCTCATTATTCAAAGCTAGATTAGGGAATGCTGACTCAACTTTGGACTCAGACTTCGCCAAAACCTTGTCCAAAACCTGCAGCGCCGACGACAACGCCGCACAACCCTTTGACAGCACCTAGAACACCTTCGACAACTTTTATTACTTCACATTCCTAATACAAAACGGACTTCTTTTCTCCGACCAACAAATCAATATTAGCCCCATGACAAGCTTCATTGTCAATGCTTACGCAATGAACCAGGCAATGTTGTTCTTTGATTTCCAACAGGACGTGGTGAAGATGGGCATTCTTGATGTTAAAGATGGTTCTAAAGGAGAAGTAGTACGACAAAATTGCCGGAAAGTCAACTGATTTTAATCCAGAAAGGAAAAAAGACTTCTGGATTAAATAATTTATGTTGGATTTCCATGAAAGAGAAAAATTTAAGCTTGTACCTTATCTTGTAGCCTTGTAGGTTTTTGAAATTACTGTATTTCTACTCCCTTTTGCAGTTTGGCCATGCATGTATTAGTCTAATTGATTCACATGCCTCTCTTATATACAAATATATAAACATATCTATTTAAATAATAAAATACTTTTTTTTTTATCTTGATTACATAATAAAAGACACTATCTCGCATCCCTTATCTCATCCTACTCACATGTCATGCCACTCAAATTCAGGATTTCTTATTTTCAACGAAAAGAAATAACTACTGAATTACTTAAGTCGTTGAAGATGAACCAAAATACCTCTTTTAAAGATGGTTCTACTTCTTTGATTCTTTAAGATTAGGTTAAATATCAATTTTGGTCTCTTAACTTAAGGTTTTGCACAATTTTCATCCTTTAACTTTTTTTATACTTTTTTAGTCTTTTAACTATGAAAAATACATTTTTTTAGTCATTTCGTCAATTAAACCATTAAATCTATCTAAATAAATACATTTTTAATCCCTCAACTTCTAATATATGCACATTTTTCATCTTTCAACTTAAAGTTGAGGAACTAAAAATGTGCAGGTTTAGATAAATTTAATGGATTAACTAACGGAATACTAAAAAAATGCATTTTTCATAACTAAGAGATAAAAAAAGTATAAAAAAAGTTGAGGGATAAAAATTATGTAAAACCTTAAAGTTGAGGGACCAAAATTAGCATTTAACCTTTTGATTATTTTTTAGCACTTAATGCTAGAAAATAATCTTGGCCCATTTTTATTAGTTTAAATTTGATGGTTTTCTACATTTTCCGGCATTTTGCATTGGGAAAAAAATTGGAAAAGTAATTTTTTTTGTCTTTTTAATCTTTTTAATTAGCAATATATGACACCAAAAATATTATTTTTCACCACCAAATAATAGAAAATAGTGAAGTGCCAAACCAAGTTTTAGGCCCTAATTAAGGGATTAGTAGTAGGGGTGTTTGTAGTACAAATGGGCCGCTTTTGAGTATTTTTCTATCAAATTTAATTTAATCAGATTAAAAAAGTTTCAAATTAATTTAATTTAGTTAATATATTAGAACTAAACCAATCTAATTATTATTAGATTGGATTCGTTTAGATTGAATTGACCAATATTGTCCAAAGAAAAAAAACAAAAAACACTTCTAAAAGTTTAATTATATTGCTCTTTCTTTCATAAATTTTAATCATACAAAAACAAAGCATTGGTTAATTGTGTAAAAATATAATTATACCCTTTCTCTGGACAAAAAGTAAAGCATTTTCTAAGAAAGTTCACAAAAATATCAAAATTGAAATCGCTAGAGAACGGAGACAATTAAAAATTGAAATAGCTACCTCTAAATGATTTCTACAATAATTCTAGAGCCAAATGCAACTGTGATTAATAGAGAATTTAGGGCGACTGTGAGAGAAGAGAAAGATTGAATGAATTTGAAAGTGGTGGAAG